TGGGCACAGTTCCGGGAACAAGAAGCTATCACTGTTTTGTACCAGATAGAGAGAAATTGTTTTTACAAAGAATCTCTAGTGATACTGTCTATGATACTCATGTGTTAAATGATGTTAATTTGATTAAAAAAAAATCCTTCAAATTTTCAACCCGGTAAATATATTGCATGCTTTTACGATGAAGAATGGTACTTAGGGCTTGTGGTTGATATTTGTAATGAAAACCAAGATGTTAATGTGAAGTTTATGCAAAGAAACAAATTAAATTTAAAATGGAAAAATGATGCACGATCAAGTCAGTGTTGGGTTCCATTTGACAAGACAATATGTCAAATAAAAGTTCCATTGATTAAAAGTATAAGCGCTCGTGACTATATTCTTGCTAGTAATGACTATGACAATATTATGAGTTACATAAATCAGAGATAAGCTAATTAGTTTCATGTATACATACTTTTTCTTTAACTGACTATCTTACTCTTTGAATGCACTTTTTTACAGTATAGTTTGTATAAAATTTAAGGTAAAAATTTTGTATGTGGTAAGTGGTAATTTTTTGTTCTCCTTTTAAAAATATCATCACTCTCAAAAGGCTACAATCATGTCATAAGATAGAGTATAGGTTTTTTAAATTTTTTTGGTGGTTGTCTATATTTAGAACCTTAACATTAAAATTTAATTAACATTAAAATCGCAATTCCTTCTTCAGATGTCAGTGTTGATGGGTACTATCCTTTGATTCGTAAAGACTCCAATAGTCACATGCTAGGTTTAGGGGTATACATACGCATTAATTCCCCTATTTGTCGTGAAATCAGGTTCGAATCCTTTGACCATTCTTTTATGTGCTTTCGCCTAGCACCTCTTCACTCTATCACCTTTCTCTTTGTTCTTTATCGTTCTCCTTCTTCCCATGATTGCACTCTTTTAGATGTTATCTCTGATCAAATTGACCATGCCCTCTCTCTTTACCCCTCTGCCAATATTGTTGTTGTTGGTGATTTTAATGCCCATCACACTGAATGGCTTGGCTCTAACACCACTGATCCTGCTGGCACTAAAGCCTTTAACTTCTGCGTTTCTCAATCTCTTACTCAGATAGTTAACTTTGTGACTCGTTTTCCTGACAACCCTAATCATTTACCTTCACTCCTTGACTTATGTCTTGTCTCTGACCCTAGCTTATGTTCAGTTTCTCCCTTTTCTCCCTTAGGTGGTTCTGACCATGCAATGATCTCTATAAATCTTTCTTCTCGTACTTCTTTTTTGGGCTCACCTTATCATCGCACCACCTACTACTACCCTAAAGCTGACTGGGATTCCTTTCGTGATTTTCTTCGTGATGGTCCTTGGGCTGATGTTTTTTCTCTTTCAGCTGACAAATGCGCCTCCTACATAACCTCCTGGATTCAGGCTGGAATGGAAGCTTTTATTTCTTCTTGTCGGTTTCAAGTCAAGCCTCATTCTACTCCATGGTTTTCTCCTTCTTGTGCGGCTGCTATATCCAATCGTAACCATTTTTTTCATCTTTTTCAAAAGAACAACTCTCTTGAGAACAAACGGCTATTTATTATTGCAAGAAATCGATGTAAAAAGGTGCTTTCTGATGCTAAACTCCATTATTCTCAGTTCACTAAATCTCGCATCTTATCGCAGAAGTTAGGCTCTAAAGACTTTTGGAAAATCTTCAACAGCATTGTTAACAAGGGTAGATCTAACATTCCATCTCTCATTCATGGGATTGATCTTATTACCTCTCCCAAGGATAAGGCAGAACTATTTGCAAAGAACTTTTCTTCTAATTCCACTCTTGAATCTTATGGACATTCTCTTCCTTCCATTCCAGTCAAACAGGTTGACCCATTGTTAGACATTCAAATCACTCCGGCTTCTGTTGCTAAAGTCATATCTCAATTAAACTCGTCTACAGCTTGTGGTCCAGACAACATTCCTGTCACAGTCTTGCAGAATTGTTCTCCAGAACTTTCTTCAATTCTCTCTAAACTATTTAACAAGTGTTTGACTGAGTCTTGTTTTCCTGCTTGTTGGAAAATGGCATCTGTGGTTCCAATATTCAAAAACTCTGGAGAAAATTCTGACCCCTCCAATTATCGTCCGATCAGTCTTCTTTCTGTTATTAGCAAGGTCTTTGAGTCTTTAATCAACAAATTCCTCACATCTCATCTTGAGTCAAATAAACTGCTGTCAGACAATCAATACGGTTTTCGATCCTCTCGCTCTACGGCCGACTTGCTAACTGCTGTAACTGAAAGATTTTATCGTGCATTAGATGGAGGCGGTGAGGCTAGGGCTATTGCTCTCGACATATCTAAAGCTTTCGACAAAGTTTGGCATGCTGGTCTTCTCCATAAGCTTGCTTCATATGGTGTTTCTGGGAAAGTTTTTGAGATTATCAAATTATTTCTTTCTGACCGGTTTATTAAAGTCATCCTTGAAGGCCAACACTCTTCTTTATTTCCAGTAACTTCTGGGGTTCCCCAAGGTTCCATCCTGGGCCCTGTTTTGTTTCTTATCTACATAAAAGATCTTCCTGACAACCTTTTATCTAAAGTAGCTCTTTTTGCTGATGACTCAACTTTATACTCCTGTCTTGACAAAAAGTCTTCTCTTTTTGATCGCCTAGAACAAGCAGCTGATCTTGAATCTGATCTGACTTCAGTAATAGATGTGAACCCCACAGTGGCTTGTGAATTTCAACTCTAAAAAAACCCAATTGCTTACTGCAAACAACTACCGTAATATGGTCAACATTCCTATATTAATGAATGGCAATCCTCTTACTGAGTCGTCCTCTTTACGTCTTCTTGGATTATCGCTTACTACTGACCTTTCATGGAAACCATATATACAATCGATTGCTAAATTAGCTTCTGCTAAGGTTGCTTCTCTTTATCGTGCTCGCCATTTCCTTACTTCTGATTCCATTCTCTACCTCTACAAATCTCTTATTCGTCCCTGTATGGAATACTGTTGTCATATTTGGGCTGGTTCTTCTAACGATTCACTCTCTCTTCTTGACAAGGTCCAAAAACGCATTGTAAATGTTGTTGGACCTGGACTATCTGCTAAGCTTGAACCTCTTTCCCATTGTCGTAAAGTTGCATCTCTTTCTCTTTTCTACAGATACTATCATGGTCACTGCTCAAAGGAGTTATCATCTCTAGTTCCATCAACTAAAATTCATTCTCGTTTTAAGTCTCATTCGTTTTCTGTATCTGTCCCTGCATGCTCTAAAAACTTTTATTCATCTAGTTTTTTTCCCCGCACTTCAATTCTTTGGAACTCTCTCCCATCTTCATGTTTTCCTGACTCATACAACCTTCAACTTTTTAAGTCTTCTGTCAACCGTTTCCTTGCTCTATAACTCTGTTCTTTTTTTTTCCTAGTAACTCCCAACTTAATAGTGGTTGCTTGCAGCCTTGTTGGGAGTGAATGCAAATAAAAAAAAAAAAAAAGTTTCATAATGTATTTCAACTGTTTACGCTATTTTCTATGCCAGCAAAGTCAATGTAATTTATCATAATTTTTAAAAAAAGTGATTTTTCAATAGGCTACTGCATGTGCTAAATTAATTTTTAATGCATAATTTTAATTATTCTAACAAGTGGTGACCCTAAGTACACAAAGGTAACAAAAAAGTCCACTTTCTGTAAGTAAGTATTAAACTGTAACATGTTAAAGTTTAAAAAATTATTTATAATGTTTCAATATTTAGCAACTTTAAGGTACATTAACTCAAAAACTGTAAAAAAATCAGTCAAAAACAACTGCAACAATGGTGCAAAACTACCCTACAAAATTTCAGGTGATCGCTGATTTATTTAAAAAGTTTTGGTTTGTTTTAATTTAAATATTTAGTTAAAATTTTCTGGATTGTATTTTTTTCATAAGATCTGTGTGTGGTCAAAATTCAAAGCAAATCTGAGGTGGTACCCTAAGAGCCTTTAGGTGATTTGATATGGAATAACCCAAAAAGTTTATTGTCTAGAGCTTTTTTAATGAAAACTCATACTTATATTTGTAGAGACATTGTTTTTTTTTTAAAAATCTATAGAATCTGTTGTGCTTTGGGTTTTCAAATACTTTGTTAGATGTTAGATAGAATAGAAATTGGTTGATAATTTGTGTGGTCTATAAGAAAACTCTTTATATATATAGTAATGAGTTTCGTTATCTTAAAAGCATCTTGAAATAAGCCTTTATTAAAAGAATTATTATATGGTATGAAGAGGTTTAAAAGTAACATGAGAAGTAACTTAAAAAAAGTGGATCTAAACTTTTATTGTTTTCTAGATTTTTTTTTATTAAATCAGACACCATATTCAGTTGATAGATTTAGAAAGAGTCAGAATTAGAATTTTTTAAATAGTCAGAGAAGATACTATTTAAAGAAATTATTTTACTTTTAGGTGGGCATTTTATTATTTCATAGTAGTTGTTGAAAATGTTAGCCACAGCCATATTGTATAAGATGCTGTTACCATTAGATTTGAGAATGTACGATTTAATTGATGTGAAGGATCTGTGTCTTAGAAGTTAACCTACTATATTAAACTTTGCCTAGGCTGCAAAAAAAAAAAAAATTAAAAAAAAAGAGAAAAAATCAAGATTAAAATTGCAATTTCAAATTTTTTCTATGCATACCAAGTACCACTGGTTTATTACAAGTACCACATGTTTATTCAGTAATGAAATGTAGTTAATTAATAAAAAGTTAAATTTTTAACAACACTTTTCAAAAAAATACTGCAATTTTGCCTAAAGATATCTAGTGATCACAGAAATCTAGTGATCACAGAAAAGACAAAATATTAGAATTGCAACTAAATAGGCAAATTTTATTCTTGACATTAAATAAATTTTATGTTATATATTATTAAATATATATCTTTTAATTTTTGTTTTAATTAGTTTTTCATCTTAACTTTAGCTTATTTTTTTGTTATGGTTAAAAATGTGCTAGTGCCATTTGCCTAATGGCACTAGCACATTTTGTACAGATTGTTTTGAAGTAGACTGAATTTGCTTCTATAATGATCTTTGTTTTAAATTCAGATTCTCTATAAGCACTTGCCTAACTCGAGAAAACTTCCAGATTATGCTATTGAGAAAGCTAAAGAGTTGATGCATTTAAAACCCAACAAAAAACTGCTACAAAAAGAGTTAATCAAATCCACAGGCAAAATTATCACTCTTAGAGATCTTTCAAACATTGCTGCTTCATCTAAGAAGGTGGAAAGCAGGAATGATATCACAACCTTTGTTACAACTTTAAAAGAAAAATATAGTAAGTAGTCTTATGAACTAATAATGCTTCTTGTTTTTTATTTTATTTATTTTCTTTTAAATTTAGCGTGTTTTTAAATATTGTTTCTCCATCAGTTCCTGTTATTATTGCTCAATAAATTGTAATTTATTGGTTTTATATTTGATTAGTTAAAATTTAAATTCTATTATTATATTTTATTGATTTTATTAGTTCAAATTTAAACTCTATTTTCTAAATTTTTCTGGTTTTGTTTAAAAAGGTATTAAATTGACTTATTAAATTGACTTATTAAATTGAAAATAGGGATTGTTGTTGACATATCAGTTTCAGCTTTAAGCTAAACAATTTTAGCTTCAACTTTAAGCTTAAGTTGATAAGGATTAGAATAATCAGCTTGAGCGGGAGTTTAGGAGTTACTCTTAAGCTGCTCCTCAAATGATTTTATGCAAGTAAAAGAACATCTAATTTTAGATGATTGAATTTTAAAGATTTATTTTTAGATATAAAGTTAATTAAATCAAGATGAATTGTTTACAGTTATGAAAGTTTAGTCGAATGATGGAAATAAAAATATATAATAACTATAATATATGTATATATATATATATATACTAGGGGTGCACCGATCAAGCCTTACTGGAGAGCGTTTTCTGTCGTACATCTTGTTTGTTCACATTTTAAGTAATTTATTTTGACAACTTGACCACATTTTTATATATTCAGCATTTTAAGAGCTTGTGGCAAAAAAAAGCTAAATGAAACTACAGAGAATAAAATAAAATTTAAAAAATTTAAAATTGTATACCTAATCATTTTACTTTTTTTTTTTTTTTTTTTTTTCAGGGCATTTTCTATTTTCTGCTACCAACATTAATACAAGTTATTCTCTTCCAGTAACTTCCAACACTAATTAGTGGTTGCTTGCAGCCTTGTTGGAAGCGAAAATGTTAAAAAAAAAAAAAAGTCGACAAAAAAAGCAGATAAGAATATAATGAAAATAAAAACATTTTTTGAAATACAATTTATTTGTGACTTTCGTCAGTCAGTATATTAAGAAAAAATGAATTTCGTTTGTCAGTCATTATATTTAAACAATGAATTTCCATATTTATTATTACCATAATTTTTCATAAATTGTCCATATTTCTAAATCACAGTACAAGTAAGTTAACAGTAAAGTTAAAACTTTTTAAATAATAAAGTTTAAACTTTACTGTTTTTATGAATGCGCAGGAATGCGAGAAAAGTAATTGGTATTTATTTGTAAAGTTTTTTTTTTAACAGGTTTTTCATGTAAAAAAATAAAGTCATTAATATTTATGTTCAAATAGGTTGTTTTCACTACCCCCATTGAAATAGTCTGCACTTTCATTGGATTCTCCAAATTGTGCATTTTAACCCAATAATTTGTTTCTTGATGAATTATTGACAGTGACCATGCTCCAAATGCTTGTGGGCTCTACTGAACTTTTTTTAATAAATTATTAGGAGCTATTTAATACTTTTTAATAAGTTTTTATCTACATTTTTTTCATACAGAGTAATTGATATGTTCATTATTTCTAGTATTTTGTGTTAATGCTGGAAATTGGGCAATATAAAGGAAGCAGTTTCAGACAGGCATCAAATGTAGTAAATTTTTTTTTTTTTAATGCAATTTTTAAGTTAATTTTAGTTAAAATATACTGCCTTTTTCCTTAAATTGTATCAAATTCAGTAGCTTAAATTAACAACCACCCTAGAAAAAAGAATTCACAGTTGTATAAAATTTTTACAAAACAATTTTTTTTTTTAGAATTTATTATTTTCAAATTATTAAGTTTTTCCATTTAAAATAAGTATATTTCGTTACAATTTTGTTTCCTTTTTTTAGAATTGGTTTTATTCTAAGTAAATAAGTTTAGCTTTTTGCCACAAACGCTTTATACCGCGTTAAAAGATGCGAACTGTCGTGGTCAGTGTGTCTAAAAAAATTACTTTAAATGTGGACAAAAATTGTGTGCCACTGCCGATTTGTACAGGCCGATAGTGATCTATATGATATGTATCAGCTGATGCATTGGTCACTAGTTTAAATTTGTACAAATTATTTGTAAATTTCTAACTGTACACTCCCAGTTAGTACGGATCCTGATGATACCGACCTAGATAATGCCACTTATATGGGGTGCTAATAAATTTAAAGGTACCCTGTGATGCAAATTCCAAAATCTTTTAATTTTGTCCGCGCAAAATAATTTCATTTGAATAGAATGCCAGGTAAAAAAAATTTAATTTCAAATGTCTCAAGCAGGCTTTTTTAGTTGGGATGCCAACTAAAAAAGCCTGCTTGATTTTTTATTTTCTACAATAAATTTAACAGATGTTTAGCTTTTACTGTGCAGTATATACATAGGTATCTATTGTTTTAGCTTTTATTACCATTTAAAGGGCAACAAATATTCATAAGTTTTTTGACTTTGTTTAAATTAATTAATATAGATAGAGGTGTTATAATCAAAAAATAATTTTTAAATTTACACTGCCAGAATTATTATAGGCTGACTAAGCTTTAACTTTAACCTGAAGGTTCAAATCAGCTTTAACCTTAACGTGATTGCTAAATATCAAATAAAAAACTTTCCTAATGAAAAATTAATACAAATTATAAGTAAAAAATTTGCAAAATTTGCTAACACAAGTTTGTTATAGTAGTTGCTACTTCTAATGTTTTCATTCAGCCATTCAAAAAATGATTCACTACTTTATTTATGTACTTAAATTATTATTTTTTAATTATTATTAAAACAATCATTTTTTTTTTATTTCCAGATGCTAATGTTGAAGTTTTATTAGGTTCTGACAACAATTTGAAAGGGATTTTTTTTCAAGACCATTTTATGCACTGTGCGTACAATTCATATCCAGAGTTCCTTTGTTTTGATGCAACATATAAACTGTTACAAATTCGTCTGCCTGTTTATATTATACTTTGTGAAGATAGTTGTGGTTAGTGTGTTTCTTTATACATTTTGTGATATAATTGATCATCATCCCTAAATTAACTTTTGTAAATAATACTGATAACAGTTAATTTAGGAATGTATCAACCAATCACAAAATGTATAAAGGAAATGAACAATTTTATATATTCAAATACAAATATTTATTTTTTATGATTTTTTTTCTTCTTTTTTTATCTAATTTACTTCTAACAAGGCTGCAAGCAACCACTATTAAGTGGGGGTTACTTGAAAACAAAGAATAGAGTTATAGAGCAAGGAAGAGGCTGAATCAAGACTTAAAAGGTTTAAGATTTTAAGAGTCAGAAAGTTTAGGTTTTAAGTTTTAAGAGTCAGAGGTTGTAGATTTTAAGAGTAAGAGTTTATACATAAAAAATACAGTTTAAAATAACAAAAACACATAGCATGACAACTGACTGTGTTCTTTTTTCATATTTCTGCTTATTCTAAGCCTGTATAAGGTTTCCAAATATGTTTCCCAGAATCATTTAAATTTATGTTCACACAGAGAAGACTAATCGGACAATAATTGGAAGAGTTAAAATGTTGAATTGTTGCTAACTTGTTTTTTAATTAATTTTAATTTTATTAAAATAGGTGAAAGTAAAGTAGCTGCCGTTGGTTTAATTACAAATGAAGATGCGGCATCATTGAGGTTTGATGTTTTGTGTTATGCGATGTATATAAAGATAGTGTTTTTTTTTGTCAAAATAACTATTTTTATAATGTTTTTAGTTGGTTTGTAGAAACATTTAAAAGAAACAACTGTTCCTGGTCTAAAACTAATGCCATAATTACGGACAAAGACTTAAACGAGAGAGATGTTTTACGTGCTTCTTTTCCTGATGCATCTCTTTTACTTTGCCTATTTCACACTCTTAGGTAAAATAATCTAGTAACAGCTAGTAAGTTAAATGTTAATTGTTAAAATAATTAGTTCAAGGGTTTTTATTTTCAGAACATTTAATCGTGAAATTTCCACTGTAAAACTTGGCATCACAAGTGGTCAACGAACGTCTTGTCTAGAACTCATTCAAAAATTAGCATATGCAAGATCAGAGACACAGTATAATGAATTTTATGACATATTTGTTTCTTTATCGCCAACTACAGTTCTCGAATATTTTAATAATAATTGGCACAACATTCGTAATGAATGGGTCTTTGGCTTAAATTATGCTTGTGCTAATTTTATGAACACCACTAACAATCGTCTTGAAAATTTTAATGGAAAACTGAAAGAAGTGGTTGATTGTAATAGTACTTTAGAAAATTTTCTTGAAAATTTATATGTTTTGTTAGCCTCAATGCGAAATGAGCGAGATCACAAAACTATTTTCAAAATGCAGAAAATTTGTATAGACTTTTTTGAACCTAATTCAGCTGAATCAGAATATAAAAATATTTTGACAACATATGCATTTGAGCAAGTATTGAAACAATTTTCCTTGCATTCAGAAGTAAATCTTTTTTGTGACAATGAAAACTATATAGTTAAAAGCAGTGAAGGTATGCTTATAGTTACTTCTGATTCGTGTGGTTGTATGTTTAGAAAATCAATGGGTCTGCCGTGTCGCCATATCTTCGCAGTTCGCCAGTTGCTAGGTTTGAATCTATTTGATGCCAAGCTATGTCTAGAAAGGTGGACAATAAAGTATTATCGTCAGCATCAAAGAGTTTTTAATACTTCTTCCAAAACTAAGGAGTCATGTGTGCAGATTAGTGTTGCTCCAAGAAAAAAAACAATCCTTTCTCAGCATGAAAAGTTTAAACATGCACTTCGTACAACTTCACTGTTAGCTACATTGGTTTCAGAGTCAACTGGACCTTCTTTTGAACAGAGAATGGGTCTTCTACAAGAACTGCAGAAGGGTTGGGAGCATGGCAAAGTCATGGTGTTAAATGAACTTATTGAGACAGACTTAGGGGTATCTGATATAGTCTCAAATCAAACTTTTTCAGATGCAGGAGCACCAAATGATGTAGATTTAATTGAAATTTTGAACAAAGAGGAGGGAAATGAGATTGATTTTAGAAATGTGTCTTCAGAGCAATATGTTACTGTCAATAATTTGCAACAAAACCAAGAAGAATGTTTTGTTGTGCAGGACGAAGCAGGTTTAGTAGGTATATATAAAATTCAAAATAATTAAATGCAATTGAGAGTGATAATTATATTAAATAGAATTTATTAATTATGTAAGATTAAGATGGAGTTGTAGCATTTTGTACATTCATTTTAGATACTCAGTTAAAAAAGATTTGCTTGCCTCAAAATGTTGTCCATTGTGGACGACCTAAAGGTGCTACTCATACAACAATAGGTCTTCCTAAAAAATGTCTTTGTCGGTCTTCTGATGTGCCAGTTCCTTTTATAAAACTTGAACCAGCTAAAAGACATGCTTGTATGTTAAAAATATTATTTTAAATTTTAAGCTAATAAATAATATTAGGGGTCATCCATAAAGAGTCTAACTAATAAATAGTAGTATAAGATTTTTTTCTAGTACTAAGAAGATTTCTTTTCTTGCACAATTTTAAATTTATATGTTTAATTATGATCATTGTGCAGAAACGGAAATGATCTCCTATCTATATTAAAAAGTCAAATTCAGCATGACACACTTTATGGGTGACTACTTAATTAAAATTAATGGTTTTGCAGCATAAGTTATTAAGCTCAAATGGTTTTGTTATAGTGATGCTTGGTTGGTTTTTAAAAGCTGATGACGTACAGAAAGCTCTTTCTGGTACCCTTATCAATAAGAGTGCTGTAGAAAAAGACCGAATTGTATTCCCTCATCTATACTTGATGAAAGTGCATTAGAGTTACTTTCTTCATTGCAAATATACTTTAGCTCGGATGCATGGAAAGCACTTGATAAAGTAATCAAGGCTAAAAAAAATCAGCATATCTGGCCATGTGCTGTATCACAAGCGAAGGAAATAAAACTGGTAATGCAATAGCATGTGATTCATGCTTATTGTGGTCACATAAAAAATGTGTAGGACAAAAAGAGAATTCCTTTTTAAAAGCAAGGTATTGGTTTTGTCGCACTTGTTATGGAAGGTAATGATTTAAGTATTACCTTTATAATTTTTGTATATATATATATATATATATATATATATATATATATATATATATATATATATATATATATATATATATATATATATATATATGTATTGTTACAGATTATATAGTTATATTTAAATAGTATTATATAGATTGTATAGATTAGATACAGATTGTGAAAATGTTTTTAAAAGCTCTGTAAGATTATATAGTATTACATATATTGTATAGATTAGATACAGATTGTGAAAATATTTATAAAAGCTCTGTAAATCTTGTTTGTTTTTTTTGTTTTTTTTTTCAAAAATCTAGTATTATAAAATAAAAAGAAACTGTTTTTAAGAAAAAACGAAAGAAAAAAAAAAAAATTTTTTGTGACAATATTTTTTCCTTTTTTGTTTTTGTTTGTTTTTTGTTTTGTATTTAATCTAGAAATATGAAATGCCAAGTCCTATGGTTTACCTTCTCGTGGTGCATTTCGTTAAATAAGTTACAAAAGTTTTACACTTTGTAATTTATAAACTAAAAACCAAGGCAATATTTTTAGAAGTTATATAAGGTTTGTAGAAATTTTATAATATTTGTCAATTAATAAATTTATTAAATAAAAATTGAGTAAATATACATATTACATACCATGTTACATACAATGTAATATATACATATGGTATTACAAATATGTTTACAGTTATGTTTTTTAATAAATTAAACTCTTTTATTAGGGAAATATATAACCCCATGCGTTTTTACTTAATGTGCAAAAATATCTGAATTAACCCTTACAAAAAAACCCAGCGAACTTCCAGTGAAAAAATGTTCCAAAACCCAGCGAACTTCCAGTGATCTTTTCCAGTGATCTCTAAAGTTCACTGGAAATTTCCAGCGAACTTGTTCCAAAACCCAGCGAACTTCCAGCGAACTTTTCCAGTGATCTTTAAAGATCACTGGAAGTTCGCTGGAAATTTCCAGCGAACTTGTTCCAAAACCCAGCGAACTTCCAGTGAACTTTTCTAGCGAATTTTCATGTTTATGTATAAAAATAGATTCGCTGGAAGTTTTTTTTAAAAAGGATTTTTTATTTTTGCTATAAAAGTTTCAAAAATTTATAAACATTTTAAAATTTTTTAACCAATAAACGCGAAATAAGATAAGTTAAGCGCGATAAAAAAGTAATATATTTATTTTAAAATATCGAGTTTTATAAATTAAAATACAATGTAGGATTAGATTATCTTAGGTATAATTACAAATTCTCAGAAATAAACTTCAATACAGAATACAATTTTTAACAAGAAACTAAAAAGTTAATTTATTAATTAATGTAAAACATATTTTTTTATAGGCATAAGTAAACTTTATATTACGCATGTTTCTATATTTAAAAAGTTTTTTCTCGTTAGCGTTCTCATACGACAAATTATCACAACGAAACAAAAAGAATTAAGAAATTCGTCAATTCATCTTTTGAAAACCACTTTAGGCATTCTTTTCGGTTTGGGTCTTTAGAGCTAAAAAAAAAAAAAAAAAAAAAAAGAATGCATACAATAAATAAAGAACATATATATATATATATATATATATATATATATATATATATATATATATATATATATATATATATATATATATATATTTAAACAATATTCAAAATGTATTCTACAAAATAGAGTGCTCATTGTTCTTAAAAGAACAGAGCAATTATAAATAAGTAGAAAATTACTTAACAAAAATTTTTTTTCATTTTACACTGTTACATCGAAAACTTTTAAAAAATTTTCTATTAAGTGACTTTCTACTAATATATATATATATATATATATATATATATATATATATATATATATATATATATATATATATATATATATATATATATATATATATATATATATATATATTCTGGTAAATAAATTTAAAAACTGAAGACAATACAGAGAAAAAATTAATGGACAAAGTAACTTGCTACAAATCAATTAAAAATTTTATTACAAATTATGACAAAATAAACCTCTTAATATTAAAATAACAATAATAATGTAGTAAGTTAGTTAGATAAATTTATATTTAGGATTTTCCCATTTAATATGAAGTGCTTCTTTTATTTTTAATTTGTTAATGGTAGAGGCAGTATCCAAAATCTAAAAGCAATCAAAATTAGTTAGTGTTTTACAAACACTAACTAATAATTATATAAAACATAATATTCAAAATAAGACAAAATGTGAAATGATAAGCAAAAATAAAACAGTATAAGATAGATAAAAACATACCAACATATTTTTGCGCAATTAGAATCAATCATTTTTTATTAATTTATCAATTTCCAACCAATAGCATTTTATCACTTTTATCCTGCATAAAAATAATAATTATAGATAAAATAATAAAAACTTATATATATATATATATATATATATATATATATATATATATATATAATATTATATATATATATATAATATATATATATATATTATATATATATATATATATATAATCAATTATTATAATAACTAAATAATTTTAATTTAAGAACCCAGCAAACTTTCACTGGAAGTTTTCTGGGTTTTTTTTTGTAAGGAACTTTACAAATTTTAAACTAATTTTTTTTTAAATTTTTAACTGTTTAAATCAACAAAACAAAAAATCATATAGCTCTACTTTTCTGTATTGATATAGATATTTAAATCTGTAAAAAACATAATAGTCATTATAAAGCAAAACTTAAACCTGTATATTAGTGAAAAAGAAAAATATTGCAGTAAATTTATCTTATAGGCAATATGATGCTTAAGCATGTTTTTTAGCCCATTTCAAAAAAGTCGAGAACCAAATGGCAGTAGTTACATTTTTTATTCCGAATAAGCGTACTTTGTTTACTTTCTCTGATAACTTATATCATTTAATTCAAATTGTATTTATTAGGATATTTTAGTATAATTTTAGATGGAAAAATTATGAAGTCAGTGGTCTGTTGGTTCTCTACTGACAAATTAGCATAACAAAACAAACAGAATTCCGAAAATTGACTTTAAAAGTATTTTCGTTTGGGTCTTTAAAGCTAAAAAAAAAAAAGATGGTTTATACAATATTTAAAGGACATCAATAACAATTTTATAAAAACATATAATAAATACTGTATAAAATTTATATATATATATATATATATATATATATATATATATATATATATATATATATATATATATATACACATACATAATATATATATATATATATATATATATATATATATATATATATATATATATATATATATATATATATATATATATATATATATATATATATATATAGAGAGAGAGAGAGAGAGAGAGAGAGAGAGAGAGAGAGAGGGAAAGATTTTAGTTTACTTAAATAAAAACTGCATTAAAATATAATACCTGCTTTAAAAAAAGCTCTGTATATATATAACTGCTATAAAATAACTCTTTAATATAAAACATATTTTCTTTACCATACAAATCAGAAAACTCATAAAAAAATCTATTAACTAATAATGTGGCTTCATTAATTACACTTTCAGATAATACATTATTGTTCAACGTAAAAACAATATTAGATTAAAGAGTAAAATGGTCAAAAAACTGAGGAGGCAAAACATCACATAAAATAACAGGACCATAAAAAACTAAAAAATTAAAAAACTCAATACCTTTCCAATGCTTTATACAACTTAATGATCATCGAGTCTGTCTTATATTGCTTGGCACACTGATTGCAGATAAAAGATTATTTACAACAGTACAGTGTCTTCTAATAGAAAAAATATAACCAGAATAATAACTATCAAATCAGAAAGAAAACATAGCTTTCATAACACCAAGCTCAATACAGTGCAGATTATTAACAACTGTTCCATTTTCACAATTAAAATTAGGTACTCTTACAAATGTAGAAAAATCTAAAAACCCTTTAATCACATTAATCCAAAAAAAATCTGTATGGTTTCTACAACTCCCATTAACATCAGAAAATGGATAAGTCATACAAGACCTCCTACCTTTTTTTAACTCTTACCCCTTGAGAAGAACACCATTGGCAACCATTATAATCATTAAACTACCTACAACAAAAAACCATAGCTCCTGCAATTGTATCACACAAAAAAATAGATACATGAAAAAAAACAACACGAACATTATTAGATAAGAGTATACCAGTAGTGGATAGGTTAGTAAAAAATCAACAAAACAAGATAAAAATAATTGCACGTTTGGTTTTTTAAAACTGGACCAGAAACCAAAAAACAAAATATTAGTAATTTGCAATGAATATGGAAAATTATGAATGGATGCTAGCAAAGGCCACAAGGTCCACTTTGATAATTTAAAAACAGGAATTCCATCAGTATTAACAACAAGTCTAATTGTTGCTTGCACATTTTCTTCAAGACTTGCTAAATGTATCCAATTGTTATCACACATGTTTTTATGCTGTTTGTTTATGTTTAAAATATGAAAATAACTGCATTTCTTATAAAGATAGGATAATGTAAAATATTTCAAACATTTTGTACATTGCTTATTAGTACTTAAAGCAACTTCACAAATATATATATATATATATATATACATATATATATATATATATATATATATATATATACATATATATATATATATATATATATATATATATATATATATATATATATATATATATATATATATATATATATATATATATATATATATACACATATATATATATATATATATATATATATATATATATATATATATATATATATATATATATATATATATATATATAAATTAGTAAAAACACTTATCTAATTTTTATTTTCTTCTACAGCTTGTTTCTCCATCAGTTGGATTATCAGAAAGATTCCTTCCTGATGATCCTACTGATGGAGAAACAAGCTGTAGAAGAAAATAAAAATTAGATAAGTGTTTTTACTAATTTATTATTGCTCTGTTCTTTAAGAACGTTGAGCACTCTATTTGTAGAATA